GCTGTCCTGGGAATTAGCTCTTTCACGCCTTTGCTGGGTGCCTTCCTCCAGGTGGTGTCTCCCCTCTTTCTTCTGGTCACGGCATCCTTTTCAGGACACTGCCCTCTGGCAGCGCCCACACCAGTCTCTGGGCCCCCTTCTGTGAGAAGTTGTTACTCCACAGGCCGTGTTTCAGGCCTGGCAGCCGTGGAGCGTACTGGACCCGAACTCTCCTTGCCCCGCCTTGCTTCCCCAGCGCTGCTTTCACTCCGGGGATCCTCCTGCTCCTCTAGCAACTAGGCCCTCCCTGCTCTCCTCCCAGAGCAGCAGTTTGACTTCCTTCTCCCTCCAGGCATCCTTCCTTTTATAGGCCCCAGCTGGGCCCTAATTAATGAGGCCTGCCTCAGCTGGGGCCTTACTCTCAACCCTTGCTCCGGGCTGGGGTTTGACCTTAAAGGGCCAGTGCAGGGCAAGCGCCCTGTCACATGGGGCAACAGCCCTCCCCCAACAGAGTGACACAGACACTGAGAGCAGCTCAGCTCTGAAGAGGGCTCAGTTACAGGGATTTGACAGCATCCAGGAGCACAGCATCAAATAGGACCCAAACCAGTGTTTCCTCTAAGCTGCAGGGCAGCACAACTTCACAAGTGATTAATCACACCTGCTGATTGACTGACTGGGCAGGGCTGATTGATCACCTATGATGCTATGCGCCCATGCTAACCTAAAATCAACAAAACATGCCAGTTAAATCTACTATACTAAGAGAAATTGTTACAAATCATAATTTCTCACCCCAGTCCTTATTTCATGTAAAATGTTTCAGGTCAGAGCTGATCTTTTTTCTCACCTAAACCCAGCTGCTTCTTTCTCCTCCCATTCTCATTCAGGTCTCTTCTTGTGATGGGGAGCAGCCTGTGAAGCCAGCTGAAGACAATCATACTTTGCTTCCCATCCCTCAAATAGAATTGTCCCAGGGCAGGAACTCTTTATTCGTGTCTCCCCTGACTGGGAAAGTACAAAATTGAAGATGGATTCCAGCACTAGGTGACATGGTCAGATGTCTTTGTAGGACCAACCACAATCCAGGCTTCTAGGAAAAACAAAACTATTCATTGCCTTGAGCACAAGGCCATTAAGTTCCTTAAGCACCAAAAAGCTAGGAGTACAGGATCTGTCGAAAAATCACCCCGCTGTTGGCAGAACTGTGGTTAAACCATGGTTTCAGTTTTGAAATGGTGCTTGATTGAAACAGCGCCAAGACAGAATTATGCAAATGAAGCATGGGATATTTAAATCCCCACTTAATTTGCACTTTCAAAGTGTTTTATTTGCATCCCTCTGCCAACAGAGGGGTTCAGTGTAGCCACAGCCTAGAAGACCTTGTTTAATAAACAAATGTACAGTCCATTTTTCTAACTTCATAATCGAGAAAGATACAGGCACACAAATAAAATATACACATTCAGGGGATTACTTGAATATTCTCATATGTATATTCATAGTCATGTTCATGTTTATATTCATGTTCAAAACCATATTTCCTTAAAAATATGGGGGTAGAGTGTCACATGGCAGATAGAGACAGTGTGGGTATGTCTACCCAGTTACATTATAGATATATCCTTTGTGTGAATGCTACTGTATTGCCTAACCCTTGATTTATATTAGTCTTATGTTACCTCTTGGAGGGGAAAAAAACCCCCAGTTAGTTCTGCAGTTGTGGTTTCTTTTCCTTCAGCTGGTCTCAGCTCTGTATTATTCATCAAATATAACTACCACGGATTGCCCCTAGTCCCCAATACTGCTTTAATACTGCCCAGATGATAGGCACACACTTTACTGTGGTGACCTTTGGTAATCCACTCTCCAATTTGCTGCTCACTCATAGCTGTTGGAGTGAGAGGATGTCAAGAGTGAAGAAAAAGGAAACAGGCAGTGTACCAGCAAAGAAACGTTTTTGTTTGCCTTTAGTTGTATAATCTTAATTAATCTAAATTGTTTGTTTAATTTTTCTATCCACGGTCCCTCAACTTCCAAACTCAGGCTACAGTATTTAATGCTGTAAAACTAAACCTCTTATGTTTGTACATAATTTTCTGTATCAGCTTTGCTAATGTACTTGATAGAGAAAATTGCTGTGAAGTGAGACTTATGCAAACAAAGCCATCTTTTAGAGGGGAATGCATGCAGTTTGCAAACATCGGGTAATGAAAAGAGATAATGCTGAGACACCATGCAGGCTGAGGATGTGGGATAGAAAACACTCACAGGATATGATTAGAATCTGTGTTAGGGGATCCAGGGACCCAGCAGCAGCAAGAAACAAGAAAACTTTTAGGGCTGTGTGCTATTTTTGAACTACTGAAGTGAGTAAGGGCTGCAAAACTGCATTTTCTTGGTATATTTAAAGACATTCAGTACAAACCACATAAAAAGAACATAATTTGTGCTTGTATCTGTGTTTGTACAGTGTCTAGCAATATGGAGTCCCATCCTTTGATGGCATTAAGGAATGGTGACCATATTTTCTCAATCAAAATTAAGGACATGTTAGCTGTGCCCCCTGACTCACATTAGCAATGCCCTCTGATCCCTATTAGCCATGCCTCGACTTCCAATAGCAATTCCCCCCATTCTCCATTAGCCACGCCTGCCTGCCATAAGTCCCACACCTGGAGGTAGTACTCCTGGGTCAAGATGGACACATGAAGTCCCACACCTGGAGGTAGTACTCCTGGGTAAAGATGGACACATGACCTGCAGTAAAGGGTGTTGTGTGACCCCTCTAAGAACTCCACCCACCATCCTCTACCAATAGGGAGGGGTTTGGACGTTGTGTGACCCCTCTAAGAACTCCACCCACCATCCTCTACCATAGAGATGGGTTTGGATCTCATAGGACCCCTTCCATGCAACTATGCTGCAATTGCATTAACCCAACTTGCATTGCATTAACTTGGTGGAAGAGGCTGGGGATGCCTCTATTTCAGGGGTTCTCAAACTTTTTGGCCTATGAACCACCTGGCTTAATGTAAACCTTTCCGTGGATCGTCGGTTGCTAATGGAAACTTACCGTTATTTACATAATTATACCCACCGGCAAATCTCCAATGGAGCCACCTATGTGCTCTGCTGGTGGGGAGGAGGACCCTGTTGTGCTGTGCCGTGCCGTGCCGTGCAAGGAGCAATGGCAGTGCACAGAGCCATTTCTCAGTTGTTTCTTCCCTGCAAGCTGGTGTCCCCATCAAGTAATGAAATATCAGGCAGAGATTTCCGGGACATTTCACTACTTGATGGGGTACTGAGACAGAATATTTCAATTCGGGACTATCCCGGAAAATTTGGGACAAATGGTCAGTGTACATTTGTGTACTAGCAACAAATATGATTAATAATTAGTTAATTGTTAGACATTGCCCTTTAGCAACGTGGAGGAGTGAGGATTCTTTGCTTGTTTGAAAATGGCATCGTCTGTCTTTGGTAGAATGATGCCACAGATTATTCAAAATTAACCAATGGCTTGAGCCAAAGGTCTTCGGTTCCCCCAAAGCGCTGCCTGACAGAATGGTTGTGCTGGGAAATAGCATCACTCCCTGTGCACTGCAGAGATATCAGTGCTGTCCTATGTATGAGGCACCAGAACGAGGGAGAGAAGCAGGCTTCATGGGAAAGGCAGCTGTGTGATTCTAGTCAGGCCCATATGCGGGAGGGGGGGAGGTGCAAATGGTGCGAAAGCACTCCCCCATGGTCCCCCAAGTAAGTGTGCTCCAGCTGGACAGCAGAATGCAGGAGCAGTGCGCTGCCCTAGCCTCACTCCCCCATGCTGTGGACAGCCAGGGGAAAGCTGGGGCTAGTGATTAGTACTTCATGCAGGGGAAGTTGTTTTTCCAGTGCATGGGCTAGAGTAGTGGCCATGTTACACCACCTTCCTCAGCTTTGGAACCGTCTTGCTTCTTAACCCCTCACCTACAGTCCAAAATAGCCCTGACCTTAGGGCATGTTGTAAGAGCAAATTCTTTACTCAGGCTTTGGGGGATGGAAGGAGATGATAAAGGCTTGTGTTTGTGGGAATTCATCTTTGTTTATATTCTGATTTGGTGGTGAAGAGCAGGTGCCAGGTGGATGATAGGGCTTGTCTTCACTGCCATGCTACACAGAATCCTAGGCTGGAAGCCTTTTGGAAAATCTCACCCTGTTTACTTGTCTGTAGGTTAATTATTTTTGTTTCTAGTGAAAAAGCAGATCCAGCCCTCTGCCACCCACCCACAGGGCTGGAGCACACAAAATCTACTAGCCTGGTCCCCTTTTGGCTCTGGTGTGTGAGAGGGATGTGAGGAGTGCCTTTTTCCTTCTCAGTCAGGGGCTTCTCACTTTGCCTCTCACTTGCGTGTGGCCCCGGACTGATCTTTCTGTGGTTCCGCAGCCCCCCACCCCCC